GCCTGTTGACGTAACGGATTGCATTAGCTGATTGTTGAATATTTTTCTTCTCTAGCTTGTTGATGTAACAGATTACATTAGCTGATTTTTGAATATTGAACCAGTCTTGCATACCTGGGATAAATCCCTGTTGGTGATAGCCTATAATTCTTTGTACGCATTGTTGAACTCAATTTGCTAATATTTTGTTGGTAATTTTGCATCTATGTGAGAGATATTGGTCTATAGTCAGTCGTCTTGTAATGTTTTTGTCTGGTTTTGGCATTAGGGTGACACTGACAAATGACTTAGGAAGTATTCCTCCTGCTTCTGTCTTCCAGAAAAGATTGCAGAAAATAGGTATTTAAATATTTGGTAAAATCCACCAGCGAAGTCATGTGTGCTGTGTGCTTACTTCTTGATAAATGAATGTTGTGACTATGGTTTTGTATGGAGACTTCATTACATTCCACTTTGGGGCATATGAGGGTAAAGCTACAGCTTTGTAAATAGGAGAGTGACTTCACCTATTGGGAGAAGTCATTCTCCATATAACGTAGACAGTTTGGAGTCTGCTCAGATCAAAGACTGTGATGGTTAATATTGAGTGTTAACCTGATTGGACTGAAGGACACAAAGTATTGTTCCTGGGTGTATCTCTGTGAGGGTGTTGGCAACGGAGACTAATATTTGAATCAGTGGACTGGGAGAGGCAGACCCACTCTCAATCTGGGTAGACACAATCTAATCAGTTGCCAGTGTAGCTAGAATAAAGCAGGCAGAGGAACACGGAAGGATTACACTGGCTGAGTCTTCCAGCCTTCATCTTTCCCCCGTGCTGGATGCTTCCTGCCCTCGAACATCGGACTCCAAGCTCTTCAGCTTTTGGACTCTTGGACTCACACCAGTGGTTTGCCAGGGGCTCTCGGGCCTTTGGCCACAGACTGAAGGCTGCGCTGTCGGCTTCCCTACTTTTGAGATCTTGGGATTCAGACTAGCTTCCCTGCTTCTCAGCTTGCAGACGGCCTATTGTGGACCTCACCTTGTGATCGTGTGAGTCTTCAGGCTCCGAAATTCATCTTCTTACTTCCCCACCCCCACACACACACACACATAAGGAGGCAGCAAAGAGATACCCAAGATGAGTCCGCCGCCCGACTCTCTCCCAGGAAACCTACACACACACACACATAGATACCATGCCAATTTCACAAGTCATAAAAGACTCAATGTACAAGTGAATTTCCCTGTCCCTCGCTTGTGTACATACGAACCATGTTCAGCTCCCTATATATACACACAACTCCAAGAAACAAACAATACACTAAAAAACCACCCTTAGATCTGGAGGACCCAGAAATCACACCTAACATACACATACTCATGTCCTTTCCGCCGACCCCAGATGGAAGTACTTCTGAGGTTCTCCATCCCACAGCCTTCAGCCTACCCTGCATCCACTATGGTCCCACACGCAACGCTGATCAGCTTCCACATAAATCCATCTCAGCAGGCAGCGACTTTATCACACATACATACATATAACAGATACCAAGCAACCATTGGTTCCCCAAATTCACTAAACGTGTCTAGACAAGATCTATATACACACACATTAACACACACATCGGTGTGCTCTATAGTTCTAAATCCAATCCCTGCCGAGAGCTGCCCTGACATTATAACATTACCGTATGTTTTATCTAGCGTACCAATAAAAATGCAGTCTATCCGAAGTGAAGTCCCATGAGTCAACAGAGCGTCACACTCACCTATACACAGAGAGATAACTGCTGTTGAACGAAGACCAGGAATTCCTTATATATACACACACATAAACATAGTAATCCAACAACTATAGGAGACATGAGCAGACAGGCGAATATCACATACACCAACACAACATTGAGACGCATGATGAAAACGCGGTCTCCTACTAACAAATACAAAATTAAGCTGGGACAACGTAAAACAAACGTGCCCTGTAATCCCGCTAACCTCAGGAGCTGAACGCAGGACATCATCTTGAAACCCAGGGATGAGGTTGCAGTTAGCTGCAACATACACACAACCAGCCTGCGTGACAGAGCAAGACATCTAGTCCTCACACAATAATAACTAAAACAATACACTATATAATATATAAATACATATGATTCTGTACATTCATCCAGGCGGTTCCCTAGGGGCAGGACTAATAGGCCAGATTTGTACACTAAAGGGAGTTTATGAAGGAGTATCCA